TGACACGGCCCGCGTCGCTTCGTTATACACGATGCCCCGCGACTCGTGCCACCTTTATCAGCCGTCGCCCTACTATGAGTATTTGACTGACCAACACCGCGTGTTATACGCTACGGTGCAAAGTCCAGCAAATGCCGCACGGCCGACGACGACCCGCCGCAAATGGTGCGAGAGTCTTCCTCCCGCTGTGAAAGCGACAACGTCGACAGCCGAACCGCACCCGCGCACCGTCGCCTACAACGCTGCTAACCATTTTGCCGTCCAAGGATTACGCCGAACATCGCGTCGTCGACGCCAGCGAAAGTGCCGCGATATTATGCGAAGATTATTATTACTGTGTTTATCTTTTCGGTTTGTTTTATTTTTGTTAACATAATCTGTTGTCGCTCATTTAATAAACGGCCCACGGGTCTCTACCCTCAAAACCAGTGTCGACCACATTTTTGCGACGCAAGTCGTGTCAACTGGCTCCCCGGCGGGGATTATTTAATTAATTTATTATCTATGAGTATTTTTTTTATAATATAGTAATCAATGCATGTTTTAATATTTAAATTAAAATTTAGGTTTTATTTCTATCAACTCGTCAGCAACTTTTTTTACTTTTTATTTTCAAATATGATACTGGTTAAAACTATAAAAAAAAGCAATGTGTTGTGTCTACTTATTATTTAAATTTTTGTTTTAGGTTTTTTGAAGATTTTTTTATGAAATATCCAGAAACAAAAAACTATTAACATAATTGGCTAAACTTTATTAAAAAGTGGATTTTGTTTTCAAATAACTTATTGAGCTTACATAGAAATTTAGTGAAAGATAATTATGCTAATGACTTATTAAAACAACTTGATATTATACACTGAATGTAAGTTATTATTGTATAATTATTAATTATCTATCCTGTGAATTTTATGCACCTTTATTTTAAAAGTTAATATTGTAATTTAACCAGAGACATAATTATAAGTCCTGGGATTAAACTAGTCTTTATAAAACGAGTGTGATGCTACCAATTCGTGGTCCACCAACTTCTTATCACAAACAAATATTGGTTACCCTTCGGTTACCAATATTATATAGAGTATAACGCTTTTTCTAACCGATAGATGTAGACACATAATAACAAAAAGCATATATTACACGCATTTACCAATCATACACACAACAAAGATCTGTCGGCCGGTGGGAGTATATATACAATTACTATCGTATACACCGCCGTAACAACTCGAATAATTGTGAACGACCACTGCATTTAACAACTTAGCATTTGATATTATATTATAGAGTTTTTTATAAGCTTTCAGAAAATGTATAGAAAATATCTGGACTCGTCTCGGAACATTCACCAATTCGCCAATTACTGTGGCCGAGTTGTTGCGTTTATACGCTACCAAAAGTAATTTTCGCGGTCTTGATTTGCAATATTCAGTTACTCCTGCACGTTTCACCCGTTAGCTTTTCACACCACTTATAGAGATTTTTATAAGCTTTCAGAAAATGTATAGAAAATATCTAGACTCGTCTCGGAACTTTGTCAAAATCGCAAATTACTGTGGCCGAGTTGTTGCGTTTATACGCTACCAAAAGTAATTTTCGCGGTCTTGATTTGCAATATTCAGTTATACCTGCACGTTTCACCCGTTAGCTTTTCACACCACTTATAGAGTTTTTTATAAGCTTTCAGAAAATGTATAGAAAATATCTGGACTCGTCTCGGAACATTCACCAATTCGCCAATTACTGTGGCCGAGTTGTTGCGTTTATACGCTACCGAAAGTCATATTCGCGGTCTTTAATTGCAATATTCAGTTATACCTGCACGTTTCACCCGTTAGCTTTTCACACCACGTATAGAGTTTTTTATAAGCTTTCAGAAAATGTATAGAAAATATCTGGACTCGTCTCGGAACTTTGTCAAAATCGCAAATTACTGTGGCTGAGTTGTTGCGTTTATACGCTACCGAAAGTCATATTCGCGGTCTTTAATTACAATATTCAGTTATACCTGCACGTTCCCGCAGGGGAATCTGCAAGGATTACGGGCCTAACAACCCCGCGGATCCTAGTTATTTCAGTGGGGGTGGCAACACGTACCACTGCTCTTAGCCGGTCATGACTTTGGTTAGTTGGGACCGGTAGGCCTGGGCATACCTGCTTGCTAACAGCGAATAGGCCCCCCTAACCCAGCCATACCAAGTGAAAGGGTTGCTAACTTGTCACAGGGTAGTTAGCCGAAAGGTAAAGTGACCATTGGGATCCTCTATGGCACCTGGCGCACCATAGAGTATACAGCCTTATCACAGTATCGAGCTCTGCTGTGACGGACCTTTATTTCTCGACTTCTCGTGGGAACTATATGGACAAAAACATAGAAAAACCACAAAACAACGAACTTGTGACGATCAGGGATCCTAAGGACAACCTGTCGGAACAAGATCGTGAACTGGCGACTCTTCGCAGAAGAATCGCCGAACTTGAAGGTCTCAATGCCAACAACGGGACACTTGGTGAACCGTCTACTAGCAAAGAGACAGCAACGTCAG